CACAGCAACTCAGTCTCAGCAATACCTCTTCTCTAGAAATGGAAGACTTTGAATCATCCAAGATCAGTGACGACAGTGCAGGTTTCTGGTAAGCATCAGGGAGGTAGAGCAGCAGAGAGATCACCAACTAAGTATTGCTACATGCCTTTGAACACTCAAAATTAACTCGAAAAATTTAGGAAGGAACATATAAAGCACCAGATGACTAGAAACCATCGCAGAGGCATAAGAAATAAGAGCAACCAAAGAAATATTTCTCCCCATGGGGTCGGCAGTTAGCATAATGGCTATGTTGCTGGACTCCCACGTGGTTGACCGTGGTTCAAGTCCTGGACCCAGTGGCTTAAACTCACGCTGGGCATGGGTGCGTGCGTGCCCAAGATGCCGAGAGAAGAATGGAGGAGAAGGGATTGTGGCATGGCCATCCCCTCTGGGGGGGGGGGGGTTTCTCACTTTCTATCTCTCTGTCTCTGTCTGTCTGGTGAGTACACGCGCCCTATAGCAAAAAACCTCTCTCAAAAAAAAAAAAAAAAAAAAGAAATATCTCTCCCCCAAGGGAAAACATCAATTCCTCATCATCCACAAAAAACATAATGGAACTCATAGAAATGTCAGTTAAACAATTCAGAATATTTATAGTGAAGAAACTAAATGAGATGCAAGAGGAAAGAGACAATGACCTTCAGGAGATGAGAAAGGCCTTTCACAATTTGAAAGAACAGACATAAAAAAGAATCAAGCAGAATTGTTAAAGATAAAGACTGTGATGCAGGAAATGAAAACCTCCCTCAAAAGTATTAAAAGCAGATTAGATCACACAGAGATCTAATCTTGAATATAAAAGACAAAACTTATGACCTAGAAAGAATTATCAAAAAGACTGATAAAACAGCCAAGAATGAGGGCAATATATTGAGAAATACTACATATCTTTAAGTGCCTAAACATTTGGAAATCAGTATCCCAGAAGAGGAAGAAAATAAGGGCATTGATTATTCCATGAAATCTGGAAGAAAATTTCCAAACCTAGAGAGGCATTCACATATCCAGGCCCAAGAAACACAAAGGACCCCAAATAGAATCAACCCAAGGAGATTTCCAAGACACATCATAGCCAGATTGGCCAAAACCACAAATACAAGATACTAAAATTGGCAGAGGGAAACCTCAAGTTACTTATAAACGGTATCCCATCAGGTTAACATCTGACCTCTCACCGGAAACAATGCAGGCAAGGAAAGAATGAGGAAATATAATCGAGGTGTTAAATGAAGACAGTTTCAACCAAGATTACTATACCTGGCAAGATTATCCTTCACCTGGGAAAAAGATAAAAACATTCTCAGATAAAACACGGAAGAATTTACCAACTCCAGACAAGCTCCTCAAGAAGTTCTGAAGGGAGTGCTATGCCAGGAAAACTAAAGGCAGACAGAAGAGAACAAATAACAACCAAGAAAGTGGCTCACTTCATGATTGGAACATGTGCAAAAACATCAATAATATTGAACATTAATGGATTAAATTCTCTGATCAAGAGACACAGACTGGCTAAATGAATAAAAAAAAAAATCAATCAAACAAACAAACACCAGAAACTCTCTCTCTGTTGCCTACAAGAAATGCACCTTATGGATAAAGACATACATAAAAACTGAAAATGAAGGACTGGAAAAAGACATTCTATGTGAACGGAAATCAAATAAGGACTGGAATCATGATTCTGTTTTCAGACAAAATAGGCTTTAAGACAAAAACTGTAAGAAAAGACAAGGGCATTATATAGTAGTAGAAGAGCTAATTCACCAAGGAGACAGTGCTTACGGACCAGCAAATGGTGTAATGGTTATGTTGCTGGACTGTCATGTAGTCAACCACAGTTTCAGTCCCAAACCAGGCAACTTAAACGTATGCCGTGCACATGTGCATGCGTGCCCAAGATCCTGAGAGGAGAATGGAGTAGGGATTGTGGCAAGGCCACCTCCCCAGCGGGTGATTTCTCATTTTCTGTCTCTCTGTCTTTCTGGTGAGCACACATGCTCTACAGCAAAAACCTCTTTAAAAAAAAAAAAAAAGACATAATGCTTATGAGTATCTATGCACCCAACTCATCTGTAGTACTTTCCATCTTAAGAACACAAAATATACATTTTCCTCACCCCTATATGGAACCTTTTTAAAGATTGACCATATGATAGGGCACAAATCCAGCCTTTACAGACAATAATATCCAAAATAGACAAGTGTGATCACATTAGATCGAGAAGTTTCTGCATAGCAAAGGACACCATAATTAGTGTGAATCAACAACCCTTGGAATGGGAAAATATTTTTGTAAACTGTGCATCAGATAAGGGACTGATAACCAGAATACATAGAGAATTCAAGCAGCTTACCCAGAAGAAAATGATTAACCCAATTAAAAGATGAGAAAATAAGCTGAATAACTCTCTAAGGAAGATACACAAACAGCAAAATAGCATATGAAAATATGTTCAACATCCCTCATCATGAGGGAGATGCACATCAAAACTACAATGAGTACCTAGCCCCAGTCAGAATGCCAAAGATTAAAATAAACAGAAATGGGACCAGCAGTTAGTGTAATGGCTATGTCGCTGGACTCCCATGTAGTCAGCCATGGTTCACGTCCCGGATCTGGTGGCTTAAAACTCATGCCGGGTGCGTGTGCGTGCGTGCCCAAGATCCAGAGGGGAGAACGGAGGAGAAGTGATTGTGGCATGGCCATCCCCCTGGGGGGGTGATTTCTCACTTTCTGTCTCCCTGTCTCTCTCCCTCTCTGTCTGGCGAGCGCACATGCCCTATAGCAAAAACCTCTCCAAAAACAAACAAACAAACAAACAGAAATGATAAGTGTTGGGATGTGGTGAAAGGGGAACTCTCCCATTGTTGATGGGAATGTAAATTGGTCTAACCACTGTGAAGAACAATATGGAGGCTCCTCAAAGACTTTCAAATAGAACTACCATATGAACCAGAAATTCCACTCCTAGGTATCTACACAAAGGACAGGAGAAGCTCAGTCAGAAAACTACTTGCACATCTATATTTTTGTGACATTATTCACGATAGCTAAGACATGGAACCAACCCCAATGTTCACAGACAGATGAATGGATTCAAAAAGTGTGGCACATATACTACATGGAATACTATTCAGTCATAAAAATACAAGACTCTGGAAGGAGAGTGGGAGAGGGGAAGAGTGTAGGACAGGAAATTTGGGAGGGGGGCCGGGAATAGAGAGATAAGACATTTGTGGGACACAGATATGATTTATTACCTGTTGATGATTACATGTATAGTATTCTCAACTGGGATGGACTGAGTTATATATCATTCTGTTTAAAATCTCTTTACAATCTGAATGATGTATAGCAGTTCATTGTATAAACAGTAAAAGTAATGATATATATATATATATATATCAGCAGTTAGTGTAATGGCTATGTCGCTGGACATATATATATTACCTGTTGATCATAACATGTATTCTCAACTGGACTGGTCTAAGGTGTATTTCATATTGGGTATATTCTTATTGCAAGCCAAATGATGCATAGTAGTGAAATGTTTTTAAAAAATAAGTGTAACTTTAAAAAGGAAAAAAAAGAGAAATCACCCTTTGGGGGTATTGTCACACCACAAACCCTTCTCTGAATTCTTTCGTGATTTTGGGCATGCATGCACACGTGCCTTGCATGAGTTTCAAGCTGCTGGGTCTGAAACTGTGATCTTCCATGTGGGAGTTCAGCACCTTAATGACTATATCACCTGGAGGCCTGAAGTACAAGCACTGTTGATGCAAAAATTTTGATTTTCAAGTCACTATGTTTGGGACTCAAACTGTGTAGTAAGCCATATTGGATCCACCTATCTTAACCACACCACCATACTTTTATTCCTAGATTCCTTTATCTATTGATTTACTTTTTCTACAATTATCATGTACTATATTCCTGGGACTTGTTATTAATTGTCAGGCTTACTAAAATATTAATGCATTTGTTCTTGTGGAGTTTAAGGAGTAATGAAATACATATAGACAAAATAGAATATAAATACACAACTTGAAAAATGGATTGAGAACAAGGAACCTAGATATTGGTACAGAGGCATAAATAGGAATTTACTTAGGGTCACCTAATATACCCTTTCAAAGTATAGTTAACTTTTTGACCTGAACAATGAGAAGGAGCTGAAATGAAAAGAGCCTCTTTAAAAAAAAAAAAAAAAAAAAAAGAAGAAGAAAAGAAAATAAAAGAATTTATTTATTTATTATTACTATTATTATTTTCCATTTTGATCAGGGAGACAGAGAAAGAGAGAGGGAAAGTGAAAAGCAAGCCACCAGGTCTGGGACTTGAACCATTGCCAGCCATGTGGGAGTCAAGCACTTTTAACCATCACATGTTGCCCCCCAAAATGCCTTTTTGTGAGAGATGAAATATAACTAAGTGATAGGGAATGTGTTTTGACCTAGGAAGTGGAGAGAAAAGATTAGGAGAAAGGGGACAGTGGATTATAATGAAGTCCTAGAAGCAATACTTACTATCCAAAAAAAAAAAGATATAATTGTAGAGAAAAAATAATAGCACAAAGTTGTTCATATAAGTTATCAATTTTTGATCTGCATTAGCAGTATCTCTACAAGAGTCTTAAGATCAGATTTTGTATAGATTTTTATTCAGTTTTTCTGGCTTGGTTCCTGAATGTCAGTACTTACCAACAATCTTACCAGGTGACAATTGACACCTCATTTAGATTCAGTGACTCTGTTTTTCTTCTCATAAACATCACAATCTTAATGTTACACTGTGATCATTCTTTGAATTCTTTTCTCCAGATTTCATAACAGTATTTTAAACCTTGACTTACATTGTGAGTTGTTTCCAATTTGTCTTCTCTGTTTTCTAACTGTTGTTTTTGTGATATATGAAATTTTTTTTCCCTTTCAGATTTAGAGTCATCTGTGAGACAAAGAGTTTTTTATCTGTAAGAAAGAAGATTATTGCAAACAATTGTTCTCACTGGGAGGTGATGGAAAGTAGCAAATTTATTTGCCTTGAAAGCATTATTTTCAGAAATGGTAGGCAAAGCAAAAGCAAGATTGATGTACAAGGATATTAAATGGGATGTTTCAGTCAAGTGGTAGTCATCTCTGGAAAAGTGCCCAATTACAAAAATTGCCAATCTCTTACATTAACTTCAGAGAACTTATAACAATGAGAAGCCCTATGAATGTAAGTATGGGACAGTTTTCAATTCTGACTCAAACTTTGATGGATATAAAAGAATACCTACTGATGAGAAAACCTATGACTGTAATGAATGTTGGAAAACCTTTGAGATAGATAACTCACATACACAACTGAATATTTATACTAGTGTGAAGCCTTACAAATATATGGAATATGGGAATACTTTTAATTTACATGAAAAAATTAGTGTACTACAGAAAATTTATAATTATAAGTTCTATAAGTGTAAGGAATATGGAAAGACCTTTGGAAGAGTTGGAGAAATTACTTCAAGGAATTTATAATGGTGAAAAACACATTTTGTGAGTGCACATTTTGTGGCAAGTCATTTGGAGTGCATACACAACTTACTCAGCATCAGAAAATTCATACCAATGAGAAACCTTACAAATGTATGGAATGTGGTAAGGACTTTAGATTTCATTCATGGCTTACTGAACATCAGAGAATTCATACTGGTGAGAAGCCCTGCAAATGTATACACTGTGAAAAAATGTTCAGAATTAGTTCACAGCTCATTGAACATCAGAGGATTCATACTAGTGAGAAACCTTATGCATGTAAAGAATGTGGGAAGGCTTTTGGAGTCTGTAAGGAACTTGCACAACATCAGAGAAACCCTATGAATGTAAATCACGTGGAAAGGACTTTAGAAATAATTCTTCCCTGACTAGACACCAGAGAATTCATACTGGCGAAAAACCCTATAAATGTAAAGAATGTAAGAAAGCTTTTGGAGTAGGTAGTGAACTAGCTAGACATCAGAGAATTCACAGTGGTCAGAAACCGTATGAATGTAAGGAGTGTGGGAAGTTCTTTAGACTTACTTCAGCCCTTATTCAGCGTCAGAGAATTCATAGTGGTGAAAAACCCTATGAATGTGAGGTTTGTGGAAGGCCTTTAGATATAGTTCAGCTCTTACTGAACATCAGAGAATTCATACTGGAGAGAAACCTTATGAATGCAAGGCATGTGGGAAGGCTTTTAGGTATAGTTCATCCTTTACAACGCATCAGAGCATTCATACTGGCAATAAACCCTCTGAGTGTAAGGAATGTGAGAATTCCTTTAGTGTACATGGGCATCTTACATGACATCAGAAAAAATAGACTGGTAAGAAGTCATTGGAATGAAAGACCTTTTGTTTCTGATTTTCACTGGGAAACCCTGTGGATTTAATACATAATCAGAAACATATCCCCCTTTTAAAATCTGTTTCTGGACTTTATGGCCATTTTGTATTTTTTTAGAGAGATTTTTGGTATAGGGCACATGCACTCACTGGAGAGACAGACAGAAAACCAGAAATTACCCTGGGGGGGATGCCCATGCCACAATTCCTTCTTCTCCATTCTTCTCTTGGAATTTTGGGCAGGCATGTACACAAGCCTGGCATGAGATTTTTTTGTTTGTTTTAAGAGATTTTTGTTCTAAGGGCGTGTGCGCTCACCAGAGAGACAGAGACATAAAGCGAGAACTCACCCCCAGGTGGGATATCTGCACTTTATCCCTTATGCTCTATTCTCCTCTTGGGATTTTGGGCATGCATATACAGGTACCCAGCATGAGTTTTAAGCTGCCAGTACAGGACTTAAACTGTGGTTGACTACATAGGAGCCCAGCGATTTAACCATTATGATATCTGCTGCTCCCAGCCATTCTGTATTTAAAAGTAGAATTCCTTGGTCAAAGGTGATAAATATTTATAACTTTTTTTTTTTGGAGAGGTTTTTGCTATGGGGCATGTGTTCTTACCAGACAGAGAGTGAGAGACAGAGACAGAAAGCGAGAAATCACCCCCCAGGGGGGATGGCCATGCCGCAATCCCTTCTCCATTCTCCTCTCGGGATCTTGGGCACGCACGCATACGCGACTGGCGTGAGTTTAAGCCACTGGGTCCGGGACTTGAACATGGGAGTCTAGCGACGTAGTCATTACATAACTTTTTATATTAATTAACATTCCTATTATCTACTGACATAGAATGGTTCCCATTAGTTTATTCTGAAATGTGTGGGATGCAGGACCAGTAGTTGGCCAAGACCCATGTCACCAGGAGATACATTGCCAGCTGGAGCCAAAAGGAACAAAATGAATGGAATGGATGAAATGACACCAGGATGTTGGACTAGTTAAATTGTACAATACAGTGCTGTTCAGCTGCAATCCCACACTATTCTTCAACCAAAAGGAAGAGTGAGTCTGAAATCAATTCACAGATCTTCAGGGCTTCCTCCTTGGTTTCAAAGGACAGGGACACTGGCTTGGTTTTAACAGTCCTGACAACTCCTGCTTAGATCTTTGAGAGCAGGGTCATCTGGAAGCTTGGAGATAGAACTCCTGCCTGACAGAACTGTGAGGGGAGGAACCCCACAAAGCAAAATCAAAGAAGTGGGACCACTAGCCCAGCAGTCACTGATATGGAACCATCAGCTCAAGTTTGTATATATGTTGTCAGAGGGGTGCCTGTGCTTGCCAAAGAAAACAAGGAGAAAACCTGCCCCCAAGTGGAGCACTGTCACACCACAGATCACTCATTTCTCTATCCTGTCAGGATTTGGGGCTTACATGCACATATGCCTGGTGTTTTTCAAGGTGTCAGGGCCAAGATTTGAACCACATGGTTGACCATGTGGGATATGGCTCTCTTAACCACTGTGGCATGGGACCAGACATAAAGGGGCTTATTCTTTGTTCTCTCTCTCTCTTTTTTGTTTTGTTTTATTTTTACCATAGGATGAGTGTGCTTTCCCAAGAAAGACAGAAAGAGAGAAAGTGAGAAATCACCCCCCAGAGGAGATTGCCATGCTGCAATCCTTTCTTCTCCATTCTCATCTCAGGATTTCGGCCACACATGTACATGTGCTCCACATAATTTTCAAGCCATTGGGTTTAGGACTTAGATCACAGTCAGCCATGTTGGAATCCAGCACGTTAACCCCCATGGTACCTGCTGGCCCAGAGGCTTATTCTTAACCCTAAAGACCTAATGTATTTTTGCCTTGCTAGGTTTTGGACTCACTGGCACCCATCACCCCTCTCCAACTTCCCTCTTTTGTAATTGTAATGTCTATCCTATGTCCCACCACTGTAGTTAGGAAGCTCATAACCTGTTTGACTTCACATGTTTACTGTTGAAGATGAAATTTGCCTCAAGATGAATCATTCCTCTAGGTTCACCCATTTATTATTTAGATGATATTTTCATGAGACTTTAGGCTTTAAAACTAATTTAAAGTTGATGATTCCAACATCAACTGAAATCTCTCAGTTAAGTCTTTGGAGAATGTTGAGATGAACCAAGTGTATTTTTTATGCAATTATTTCAAAAAATTCAAAATGGATAGTAGACATAATTGTACAACACACAACTATAAAACTTCTAAAAGATGACATAGAAAATAATCTATATGACTTTGTTATTGGCATATGATTTTTTAGATACAACTCCAGAAGCATGATTCATGGAAGGAAGACTGCTTAAATTATACTTCATAAAAATAAAAACGTTTGCTGTTTGAAAGATATTAAGAGAATGGAAAGACTAACAACCAGCAGGAAGAAGATATTCACAAACCATCTGATAAAGAACATAAATATAAAGTGTAGAAAGAATAATAAAAACTCTACATCAGAAAATAGCCTAGGGCTAGCAGATGGTGTAGCCGTTATGTCAGTGGACTCCTACATGGCTGACTGCAGTTCGAGTTCTAGACCTGGTTGCTTGAAAATCACATCGAGTGCATGTGTGTGTGGGTCCAAGATCCCAGGAGGAGAATGGAGAAGGGATTGTGGCATAACCACGCCCCCCGGGGGGTGCTTTCTAATTTTCCCTCTCACTGTTTCTGTCTGTCTCTCCTTGGCAAATGCACACATCCTAAGGCAAAACCCTCTTTTAAAAAATTAATAAAATAGCCCAATTTAAAAAACATACAAAGGATCTGAACAGATACCACTGAGTAATTCAATACCTACATAATGGGTATTTCAAGAAGGTGAAAAGATTGGGAACCAGCAGTTAGCGTAATGGCTATGTCGCTGGACTCCCACGTGGTTGACCGCGGTTCGCATCCCGGACCTGGTGGCTTGGAACTCATGCCGGGCGCATGTGTGTGCGTGCCTAAGATCCCTAGAGGAGAATGGAGGAGAAGGGTTTGCGGTGTGACCATCCCCCCCGGGGGGTGATTTCTCGCTTTCTGTCTCTCTGTGTCTGGCAAGTGCACGCGCCCTATAGCGAAAACCTCTCAAAAATAAAAAAAAAAAAGGTGAAAAGATGAGTAAAGACATGGAAAATCTATTTCATAAATTCCTGTCTAAAAACTGTCAAAGTCGAGGGAGAGAGCAGACATCCAGATCCAAGAAGTACAAAGGACACTTAAATGGCAAAAGTCAAAGACAAAAGTGTTGCAAAGCATCAAATTACTTATAAAGGATACCCATCAGACTGACCTCAGACCTCTCAGTAGAAACCATGCAGGCAAGGAGAGGATGGTAAGACATATTCAAAATTCTGAAAGAAAACCAATTTCAGCCAAGAATACTGTATCTGGCAAAACTATTTTTTCAAATTAGAAGGAGAAACGAAAAGACTCCCAGATAAAAGCAAATGAATTCACTAACACTAGATTGGCTCTTCAAGAGATAGGAGAGACCAAGACCCTCTGACCAGACTTCACCTCCTGCTCTTCAGTCTAGCTAGGAGCCAGGTTAGAAGACCCTACTTGTTCTCTCTGTGTCTTTCCATCTTTCTCTATTTTAATTTTTTTTAACTTTTAAACTTAGCTCTCTGCTGGCCTTTTGTCTTTCTAATTCTTCTTCTTTTTGTTATTTTTTATTTTTTGGAGAGGTTTTTGCTACAGGGCTCGTGTGCTCGCCAGACAGACAGAGACATAGAGACAGAAAGGGAGAAATCACCCCCCCCAGGGGGGATGGTCACACCGCAATCCCTTCTCCATTCTCCTCTCTTGGCACGCACGCACACGCGCCAGGTGTGAGTTTTAAGCCACTGGGTCCGGGATGGAAACCACCAGCGACATAGCCATTACACTAACTGCTGGTTCCTTTGTCTTTCTAATTCTTATGTTTCCTCCTGCTCCCTAAGGATAAACCAATCAACAACCATCTGCATCTCAGTTAAAACCAGACCCTAGAGCACTGCGCAGTTTTCTTTCTCTCTTTCTTTCTTTCTTTCTTTCTTTCTTTCTTTCTTTCTTTCTTTGCTTTCTTTCTTTCTTTACTTTCCTTGCTTTCCTTGCTTTCCTTGCTTTCCTTGCTTTCCTTGCTTTCTTGCTTGCTTGCTTTCTTGCTTTCTTTCTTGCTTTCTTTCTTGCTTTCTTGCTTTCTTTCTTGCTTTCTTGCTTTCATTCTTGCTTGCTTTCTTGCTTGCTTGCTTTCTTGCTTTCTTGCTTGCTTGCTTGCTTTCTTGCTTGCTTTCTTTCTTGCTTGCTTTCTTGCTTTCTTGCTTTCTTTGTTGCTTGCTTGCTTGCTTTCTTGCTTGCTTGCTTGCTTTCTTGCTTGCTTTCTTTCTTGCTTGCTTTCTTGCTTTCTTGCTTTCTTTGTTGCTTGCTTGCTTGCTTTCTTGCTTGCTTGCTTGCTTTCTTGCTTGCTTTCTTTCTTGCTTGCTTTCTTGCTTTCTTGCTTTCTTGCTTTCTTTCTTTCTTGCTTGCTTGCTTGCTTTCTTGCTTTCTTTCTTTCTTTCTTTCTTTCTTTTCGAGGGTTTTGCTATAGGGCATGTGCACTCGCCAGAAAGAAAGAGAGAGACAGAGAGACAGAAAGTGAGAAATCATCCCCCGGGGGATGACCATGCCACAATCCCTTCCCCTTCATTCTCCTCTCAGAATCTTGGGCACGCATGCACATGCACCCAGCATGAGTTTAAGCCACCAGATCCAGGACAAGACACTTTATAGCCAGAGAGACCAAAACCACAAAGACAAGATACTAAGACTGGCAAGAGAAAATCATCAAGTTACCTACAAAGGATATCCCACCATACTAACATCATACCTCTCATGGAAACAATGCAAGCAAGGAAAGAATGAGAAAATATATTCAAAGTGCTAAGGAAAAATACCATTTGAACCAAGAATACTGT